CCCCGGCGGGGGCGCGGGCGACGCGGAGGGGGAGGCAAGCGAGTGCCCGGTCTGTCTCGAGCCGCTCGACGACCCGGTCCGCACGCAGCGGCCGCCGCGCCCCGCCGTCCGCCGCGAGAATCCCGCCGAGCTCAGCCTGGCTGGCGGCGCGACTAGGTCGCGACGCAGTGCGCGCACACGTTTTGCCGCGAGTGCATCCTGAACTGCTTTGGCGAGGGGCGCCGCGCCTCGTGCCCTCTCTGCCGGCAGCTCATTCACCGCTCGGAGCTGCTCACGCTCAAGCGCGCCTCGCGCTTCAGCGTCGACCTCGACACGGAAGAGTGGCGCTCCTCGGCCAAGATTGAGGCGCCGCCCGCGCCGCCGCACGCGTGTGCCCCTCGGCCCGATCTACGGCCCGATCTCGGGCTCGATCTCCGGCTCGACCTCCGGCTCGATTTCGGGCTGCACCTCGGTAGGCGCTGCTCTCCGAGCTGCGAGCAGACTTCCGCGAGGAGGCGCTCGCCGATCAGTGCGGCGGCGGCGGCGGCGGCGGCGGAGGCGATGGGGGCGGCGGAGGAGGTGCTGGGGGCGGGGATGTCCGGCGGCCGCTCAAGGCGGTTGTCTTCTCGCAGTGGGTTGGGATGCTTGACCTGGCGGAGACTTGCCGAGACTTGCCGAGACTTGCCGAGACTTGCCGAGACTTGCCGAGACTTGCCGAGACTTGCCGAGACTTGCCGAGACTTGCCGAGACTTGCCGAGACTTGCCGAGACTTGCCGAGACTTGCCGAGCGTGTCCCCCCCCCCCCCCCTTCCCGCCCTCTTGCCCTGCCGACCTCTCCGCCTCCTCGCCGTCTCACCCCTCCTCCCCGTGGGCCATAGGCGGAGCGCGCGGTGCAGCGCGAGCTCGGCGCGTGCGCGGTGGCGGCGGCGGGGGAGAGGTGTCCCCGAGGTGGAAGACGGGAGGTGCGTGTCGAGACTAGGCGTGCGCACGGTCCGGCTCGTCGGCGCGATGAGCCTGGACCAGCGGCGAGAGGCGCTCGCCGCCTTCCGGGAGGACCGGCGCGTGCGGGTGATGCTGCTCTCGCTCCGCGCCGGCAACGTCGGCCTCAACCTGACCGCGGCGCGGCGCGTCTTCCTCCTCGACCCGTGGTGGGGCCAAGACCCCTCCCCGCCTCCTCACTCACCAGCACCCCCCCACACAACACACACACACCCTCACCCCACCTCACCACCTCCCTCGCCCCCGCCTCCCCCGCCACCCGTCACGCGCGCCTCCGCCTCCCTCGCCACCCGTCGCGCTCGCCGCCACGCTGCCTCGCCGCCACGCTCCCTCGCCCCCTCACCCAGTCGCTGTGAGTGAGTGAGTGAGTGTGAGCACACACACACACGCACCCCCCCCCCCCCTTCGCCTCACCGCTTCGCGCAGGTGGAACCCTGCCGTCGAGGAGCAGGCCATCAACCGGGTCCACCGCATCGGGCAGCCGGAGGAGGTGTCGGTGGTGCGGCTGGTCGTGCAGGGCACCGTCGAGGAGAAGATGCTCGAGCTGCAGGGGCGCAAGCGGCGCAACGCGGAGCGGCTGCTCGACGACGCCGCCGGCGCCGACGAGGAGGCGTCGCGCCAGCTCCGCATGTCCGACCTGGCGCTCTGCTTCGAGTGAGAGTGTGGCGGGAAGTTGGTCTCGGCGCCCGAGCGTGCTGTGGAGCGGAGTAAAAAGAAAGCAAGAAAGAAAACAGACAAACCCAAACGAGGGATGGGAGAAGGACAGGGTCCCCACCTGCACGAGCAGGATCTTGGAAGGACGATCAGGGACACGACACAGGGGAACGGGAGTCGGGAGACGGGAGTGTGCACGCCTTGCCGACGGTCGCGACGAGCTTGCTCCACAGCCGGGCAGCCTGCCCCTGGAGCGTCACAGCAAAGCCGGGGCCGTTGCTGGCGTTGAGCATGTAGTCGCGGCAGGTGAAGAACATAGCTCGCGTCGCCTGCGTCTTGGTGAAGACGTCGGCGATCATATAAGCAGTGCCGACGAGGTACGGCGCGACGTGGCGGAGCATGAAGAGGCGCTTGACAAACATGGTGGCACGTTCGTAGTAGCGCGTGCGAGCAGTAGAGCCGGGCTTGACGATGATGTCAAAGACGGCTTTGCAGTCACCGAGCTGGGGCGTGGGTCCTGCGACAGCTCGGCCAGCGTCCTCGAGCATGAGCCGGCAGGAGACGACTTTCTTGGCGGCGACGGAGGCGGTGGCGGTCTCCTCTTCGGCGACGCTGAGAGCCTCGATCTTGGACTTGTTGGCGCTCCAGTCGATGGCGCCGTTGTTGAACATCACGACGCATCCGCCGTAGTGTGGCGCCTTGCCGAAGGAGGCGTCATGGTAGGCGTGGAGGCCACGAGACTCGATGAAGCCTGGCGGGAAAGTGTCGAGTCCGTAGTCCGTCGAGCTCTCCGGTGGCGTGGGCGTCGGCGGTAGGCGGGCCGCGAGGCGCGGAGGAGCGGCCGACTGGCTGCCGTCCGGTGCGGAACGGTGGCCTTTGTCCGCGCTGAAAGCTGCGCCGGCCGCCGGACGGTTCCCCGGCCCGCCTCGAGTTGGCGTCGGCCCGCGCCTTGCTCGTCTCGAGAAGGGCGATCGCGTAATCGAACGACCGGTTCTTTTTGGCGGAAGGGCACATGCGTCCGGGGTGTCCGATGCCCCGGCAGTTGTGGCAGACGATCTCGACGGACTCGACAGCGTTTCCATCCTCGAGGTAGATGATATCGTCGCTTGCGCCACTGTCACGGACGACTGGGCAATCGTACTGGTCGACGTTAGCGCCGCCGAAGAAACCGAAGGCGGTGGTGGTGACGGCGCCACGCGGGACAATGGCACGGATGTGCTCCATTTGCATGGCCTCGACTTGCATGGCAGCAGCCTTCGCCTCGGTTGACAGCCCGACGCTCTGAGAGGAGGCCCGCCTCCCACTGGCGGTCGGCAGCTGCTCCGGGCCGAGGTGGCCGTTCTCAAACGCGTTCTTCCAGTGGGTGGAATAGTGCGCGACGAGTCTGGCGAGGTCACGTCGGGCAGGGACTGCAGGAGGGACTCCACCGACGCCTGCAGCGGTGCCAGCAATCCAGAAGTACCCGTTGTGAGGCCCGGTGCTATTGATCTCTGAGAGGCTCTCGGCTCCGAAGAGCTTTGAGTTCTCGTTGATACACTCGAGGAGCCGAACAGCGATCTCGCTCTCGTCGTGGCGGTGAGTAGGCGGGCGCTCGGCGTTGACGCGGCGAATGTGGCTGTGGAGCTTGGTGACAGTGAACCCACTGATGCCAACGTCGGCGCCGATGCTGATCTTTGCCCACGCCGCATCGTGCGCACGGACATCAGAGCGCTGCGGCTCCATGTCCCCAATCGAGCAAAGGTACTGCCACGCCTGCTCCCCCTGCTGGAAGAAATTCTCGCGAAGGTGGAATTTGATGTCCTTGCACGATATGTTCTTGACCAGGAGGGCGTAGGCCTGCTTGCGGCGGGTGCGGTGCAGGGCCTGCATCTTCTGTGCATGCTGTGCAACGCCAGCAGGCAGAGCTGGAGCGCCGACGGCGGCTACTCCCATGTCCGCACCAGCGAAGACATCCGCGATGCTGGAGCCGGATTCGTCGGTCCGCTCCGCACCAGTGTCGAGAATTGCCCTTCTCCACTCCTTGAAAGGAAGGCCAGATGTCCCATCCCATTGGATGACGGACGGCATGTCTTTGTCACGGTTGTTGCTAGACATGCTACGTAGTTACCCCTCAGCTGGCTCCACGTTGAAGATGAGCGCGCGCGTCACAGCGCAGGCCAGGTCTACACTGGCCGCGGCACCAGCTCCCGCGGTCTGCACGCTAGGAGTGGTCCGCCCTCGCAATGAATGCGGAATACTATTACGAAAAGTACAACTAGTGCGACACACTAGTCAGTCTCGTAATCGCGCCAAGAGCGCGGATACACACACAAACAACAGGCGCTGCTATGAATAGCTGCGCATATACAGATAACGACTGTTCACAGTTGGGAGAGAGAGAGTCGTCTCTAACGCATCTCGCGCACACGGAGCGGGGCTGGGGAATTCACCCACGAGCCAGGGCCAGCGATCCTCTCTCGCAGGAGGCTCTTTCGAGCTTCCATGCTGCTGATTCCTATCGGCCTTGCTGGCGTCGTGCTGTTCTCCAGCGCTGCCACCCGTCCTCCGCGCGCCTCGCCCAAGTGTGCCGCAGAGGCCATGCCTACCGTCGATCTCTACGCGCCTGGCACCCGTGCTTCCTACGCCGGGAATCTGGTGCCATCCACCCCGCTAACAGAGCCCGCGTATGGCTCTCCGCTTCCCTGGCTTGCACTCACCCACCCTCCGCTTCCCTGGCTTGCACTCTCCGCTTCCCAGGCGGGATTTCTGGTCGACCTCCACGAAGCCAAGGCCACCTTCAACTTTTGCGGCGGCATGATGTTCCAGCTCGCCCTCTCCGACAAGCTGCACAGCCACCTCAGCGCCGTGTCCTCTCGCGGCGCCTCCGACGCGCAGCAGCCGGTGCTGCACGATGCGGGAAAGCGGCGGATGCAGCAGCTTGCCGGCTACGACAAAACCGGCGCCGCCGACAACGCGCGCGTCTTTCACGGCCGCGAGGTGCGGCAGGTCCACTCAGCCGCGGGCGGCATGGGCATGGTGCTTCAGCTGTCGCTCGCAGGCGAGGAGGAGGACGCGGAGGGCTGGACGAAGAAGGAGCTCTCTGGCTACGACGGCTGGGGGCACGACTCGTCGCGAAAGTGGAACCTGGCTCGCGAGGCGGACGCCTTTCGCGCAAAGTGGGGTGCCCAGGCGGTGACGCTCCAGCACCGCTTCTACCTGCACGTCGACGCGCAGGACAACCTCTGGCTCTCCGCGGAGGACGGCTGCGAGGGCTATCTGGCGGCGGCTCCCCCGGCCCGGCCCAAGGTCTTCGGTCTCTTCTGAGTGTAAGAGGAGAGGGTGTGCTGGTGTGTGGCCTCTAGCCTCTTGGATTCTAGAGTAGGCAAAGCCGTACTAGGAGGAGCGGTCAGAGGGACAGAGCACAGAGAAGAGATAATATGCGCGCAGGCATTCGCACGACGGAGCGCAGATGCCCAAGTCAGTATTTCGATAGAGAAAGCCCAACTGCCCACAGTGTGTGCAGCACTGCAGACGTGCAGAGCGTCCACAAAGAGAATGACAGTACTTGAAGACAGACTGCAGCACATTCCCAAACCGACCTCCGATTTCCATGACGTATTCCCTGGCGCCAGCCGGCGAACGTACCGTAGGCCCTCCCCCCTCCTCCTCCTCAGCGGATGCCAAACTGGCCCGCTACGTACCCAAGCCCGCCGACGGCGGAGAAGGCAACTGCCATCATCGCGAGACCTTTGAGATCGTAGCCCTTGCCGCTGCTGGTGAGCTTCCCGCTCGTCATCTTCTCCCATGAAGGCACGCTCGGCGAGCCCGTCTCTCCGAAGCCGGCCTGCGCTGGCGTCTCGGTCGCCGCCGCCGCCGGCGTCTCGGCCGCTGCCTCGTCAGGCACTTCCGCAAGCCGCACCGCGAGGCTCCGCGCGGGCACTGCGGATCGAGGAGCGGCACCGATGCCTCGCGTCGGGAGGAGCGCCGCCGCACCGGCGATAATCAGAAGCAGGAGCGCGCAGCGCTGCCTCATTGCAGGCGTGTTTTTCATGACCACGCAAGACAAAGGGTGGCTAAGGGCTCTGCCCGTAAGGCCCGCGTCGCCGACGCTTGCACAACCGCACGACCAAATAGCGAAAATCCGAATCTAACCCTATAAGTCCCACCGCCACCAGTTTCCGACCGTCCCACCGATTCGGTCGTTTGCACCACCAGCTCCGCCCAATGGCCAAGCGACGGCTGAACCCGGACGAGATTCGAGCGGCCGTGGAGGCGGGACACCCCCCCAGCTCGGTCAACTACGAGACCGACAAAAAATGGCATGCCGGGCAGAATCGCTGGCTCGCCAAATGGAAGCAACGCCGGCTCCCCGACAGCGGGAGCAGCCGGCGGGACCACTGGGGCGATCGAAAGCAGCAGCATGCGCGGCTGCTGCGGGCGGCGGAGAATGAGTCATCTGCCTCCTTGAAGCGCCAGCGCAAGGCCGCAGCGACACCTGCCGTGACACATAGCGGCCGTGTGCACGCTGGCCCGTCACGGCTCAAGAGGCCAAAGCCGCCGCCAGAAGGTGGCAACCAGCAGGCGTACGAGCTCGCCATGGGCATGTATGGTATTGCTCGCGACACCCGGAGCAAGATGTCGAGGCGGACCAAGAGCGAAGACGCCGAGCGCAAGAGGGATGCGCGAGCGATCACGGCGATGACGACAAGTGCGAGCATTGGCTCGGCGACTACACAGAGCGCCGCTGCTGGAGCTGCCGGTGCCACCTCCAGCCAGACGGTTCCTGAAGCAGGCATGCCGGGGGTGGCTTTGCCTCCCATCCCTCCCCGCCCCACCCACCATCACCACGCGGCTTCCCCATGGTGCGTGTGCATGTACATGTAGGGCCGCAGGCAGTCAAGGCCGCCAAGGAGCGAATGGAGAGGGAGCGCGAGCGGTCGCAGCGGCGGCGTGATGTGGCAAAGCTCAAAGTTAGACAAGCTATTATGAGGAACGCACGCGGATTCGGCGGCTCGATGAGCAGGTGCTCAAGGCCGTCGATGAGGCGCTGATGAGCAGGTGCTCAAGGCCGTCGATGAGGCGCTGCGAGATTCTGACTATTGGCGGACCACTGGCTTCTTCAGCAGCGTGCGAGGGGATAACTACTATGACCATTGGCTGTGCCTCGCAATCAAGGAGTAGGCCGCTTCGCATGAGCCGGATGGCTCGCAGCAATGGGATGGCTGTCGGAGACTCCGTGCGGCTGCGCGATGCGGTTTGCCAGCACTGTCGACAGTCGGATCCGGTGGAGGATCAGTGAGTTACCCGCTTACTTGAGGAAAACAGCCAGGAGAAAAGGCCACACGCCGAAGGTCCCACACTAGTACCGTGCAAAAACCACGAATCCGGACGAAGAACGGTGGCAAGTTTGGCTAACTCCATACATGGGCGATCCAGCGCTTCCTTCGATTGGACGGACGAAATGATCGCGGGAAAAGCGGGACCGCCATCGCGACATCTCGGGGGTACACCATATGCCGAGCCTCTCGGCCTGCCTGCCATGCGCGCGCGCGCCTCGCCCGAGCGCAGCCACCTGCGGACCTGGCCAGCCTGTTCCTGGCTCGTGCCCAGCCTCTCCTTCCGCTGCCGCCGGCCTCGCGACGGTCTCAGCCCTACCTGGCCGTTCTATATTATAGAATGGCATCCTATAATGTAGAATGGCGTCTCGCGCGCGCTCACCCGGCCGCCTCGCAGCCCCAGCGGCCGGGGGGCGCTTGCCGGGGTTGAGAGGCTGGTCACACACAGGCGCCACTTTAACGCGGCGAGCCAGAGGAGTCACACAGGAGAGCCCCCAACACGCCACATTTTCAGCAGCAGACGGGCCGCGGTGAGGGCCCATTCTACATCGAAGAATGGGGTCCGCCGCCGTCCCCCACGGCCTCCTCACGCCCCCAGCGGCAGCGTGCCGCTCGGCCAGACTGGTGGGGTTCGCGACAAGCGCCAGTTCAACACAGAGAAGCCCAACAGTCCGCAAATGAGAGTCCTCCCCCCCGCCCCGGCAAACCAGAGCAGACGCCGGGGGCCGCGTATGGCGAAAGCAAACGCACGACGGCCGCCGGCAGCCGTTGAGCCGCTGCCGCCGTTCGAGCCTTGGATGTCCGTCCGTCGCCGCCTGTGGCGAGGGCAGTGGAAGTGTGAGATTTGTGCTCGCAAGTGGTGGGCGGGCGAAAGGGTCGGGCGGCAGAAGTGAGCAGACAGCGCGAATGCGGTCTACCTATGTCACATCTACTCCTCGTGTCACCTAGTCATGGTCCTCGCTTCCCTGCCCGGTCTCCGAGTCCTGCGCCTCGCCTGAGTCCTCGTCCAAGTTCGAGTAGTCCTCTCCTCGTCTTCGTCCTCGTCTTCGTCCTCTTCGTCGATCTCGTCGAGCCGGGTGGCTCCTACCTGGCCCGTCCCGGCCGTGACGCTGGGGCCGACTTGCTAAGCGGGCGGGGAGACGGACCGCCAGCTCTGCTGCTGCCTGTGCTGCCCGTAGTCCTCGCCTGCGAGCGAGTGCCCTTTGCGGGGCTGTCGCTCAGAGAGCGGGTGTCGCCACGGCCGTCTTCTTATCTGGTTTGTGGTCTGCGCGCTGCGCTGCGCTGCGCGTCTCGAGGCGCGCCGCAACACAGCCCGTGTAAATGGGGTAATGGATAAACCAAGCATCCCCGATGGCCGGGGGGATGTCCCATGGCCCCGGGGTGGCCGTGGGCACGCAGGGGGCGCCGCTACGGGCCGCTGCGGCGCCCATTCTATTTCGAAGAATGCCATTCTGGAATATAGAATGTACGGCGAGCCTTCCTTCCTCGTCCAGCGCCACTATATGGAGCCGGAACTCCCCTCCGAGCAGTCTCTCGGCCTCTGGGCTCATGTCCAGGATGCACTTCTGGTGGCGATTGCGCACGCCCGCCACGGCTAGCTCAGGAATTTTACTTCCTCGAGTATGTGAAAGAAGACACGGGAGCGCTACAGTGGGTTGCGGGCATTAAGAAAACGTCGCATTAAGAAACCCTACCAAGAGATTTCCGCAAAAATCTAAGAAACCACGGCGCGCCGCAGGCGCGGCCCCGAGAAAAGGCCAGACACGAGTCTCGAGTGTGAACGGGAGCCCCAGCTCAAAATTTCTCTTCGCCTGCGGCGCGCGCACTTGTCACTTTCCAAGTCTACGGTGTTCTGAGTGGAGTGGAGATGGAGGCGTGTGTGCGTCTTCCCGTCATCCAGAGAGCCGACTCGGCGGCAGACTCTGGCATCGCCCTCGCGGACCGCAGCTTACCTCTTACCTAAAATCCTTAGGAGGCCGGCCGGAGCTAAGAAACCACGGCGTGGGGTGGATGAGGGCTGTGGAAAGGCTTAGAAACGGCGGCGTGCCGCCGAATCCTGTTTTCTTAATGCCCGCAACCCACTGTATTTTCCGGAAGTCCGGCCTTGGGTCGACCGCGCTGGACATTGCGCGGTAGTGTAGTTGGCCATTCGCAACTGAAGAAAAGGCGGTGCCGCGGAGAGACAGCGAAATGGCCCGGGTCAGAGATAAAGAATTCCCGCAATTCTTTGGGAGGAAGGATATTCTCGAGCAGGCACTCGACTCCAGGATGGGCGCCCTCCTCACGGTCCCTTTCAGCATGGCGGCGTCATGCTGCGGCTCGCTACTCGCCTCCTGCTGCGGTGCTCTCGCCTGCAAGGCCTGCGGCTGCGCGTGCATCACCACGAGCCGCGCGGCGAGCGTGGCGTACATCCTGCTGCTGTCGCTGTTCGTGCTGTGCGCGCTCGCGTTCGGGAGCGGCGGTGGCGACATCGTCCTCTTCGGCAGCGGGTACAACAGCACCGCGGAGGGCTGGCTCGAGCACATGAAGGAGCAGGCGATGGGCAGCGCGTCTAGCTCGGGTGAGCGCGAGTGCAGCCGTCCCGCCTGCGCGGCGGGGAGAGACGCGGCGGGGAGAGGAGTGAGGGAGAGGCGCGCGGTGTCGCGGAGGAGCCGCGCGAGCTCCGTTCGCAGGCCCTTCCGCCTCCTACACCTCCCCACGACCCCTCCCCCCCCCCCACACACCTCCCCTGCCACCCCCCCTCACGCAGCCGAGTCCTTTTGGAACGACCGCTTCTGGTGCAAGTCGAGGCGCGCGACACTTCCTAGACACTTCCTAGACACTTCCTAGACACTCCCTAGACACTCCCTAGACACTTCCTTTTGGTGTAAGTCGAGGTCGCGCCCACGGGTGGAGATGGGTGGAGGCGTGGACGGCGTCTCTTCTCACGGCTGTAGCTGTGAATAGGCACCCGCACGGGTGGATCATCTGCTGCGCCGACGTCTGCGGAGGCGCGACACTTGCGCGACACCTCCGCGACACCTCCGCGACACTTCCGCCCGCCCCCGCCGCACCGCCACCTCCCCGTCCACTCGCCCCATCTCGACCCCTGCGCCTCCTCTCTGTCTCCTCCCTGTCCCCCCCCTGTCTCCTCCCTCCCTTCCTCCTCCCTGCCTCCCTTTTTTTAGAGGACGCCCCATCGGGGGGGGCTACACACAAGCGCCCTTCTGCGTCGGGTCCCGGGCGCCTAGAAAGAAGGCGCCGCCCCTCGCCAGGCGAGTCCCCCATACCCGTAGCCCCGAGCCTGTCGCCAGGCGCCTTCTCCATCTACCGCTTCTCCTTTGTCCTCGCACTCTTTTTCGGCGCCGCCGCGCCGCGCCACCCCAC